AATAAAGTACTTTTAAAAATATAAATGAATAAAGATAAAGATAGAAAGGTCTAAACTGTACAGGAAAGATATTTACAATGTGCAGGATAGAAAAACCAACAGGAGTGCATTAAGGTAATGCATATATACAGGGTGGGTTTAAGAGTCAGTGTCAGTGGGGGATCTGGGCCTTGTTCATGAGGCCAGCTGCAGACGGAAAGAAACTGTTCTTGTGGCGTGAGGTTTTGGTCCTGATGGACCGCAGCCTCCTACCAGAGGGAAGAGTTTCAAAGAGTTTGTGTCCAGAGATGAGCCCAATGAGGGAGGTGTCATCCTCCAACTTCAGAAGCCTGACGGACTGGTGACTGGAGGTGCAGCTGTTTGTGTACAGGGAGAAGAGCAGAGGAGAAAGAACGCAGCCTTGGGGGGATCCTGTCTGACAGAAGCCAATTGAGTCTATTAATGAAACGATTAAGTACAGCCTCAAAATTGAAATGACATGAATCAAATGTTCTGTCTTTTGATAATTCTGCTATCTATAAAGAGACGTGTAAAAGCTTACAGCACCTGGTATTCCCAGGCGGTCTCCCATCCAAGTACTAACCAGGCCCGACCCTGCTTAGCTTCCGAGATCGGACGAGATCGGGCGTGTTCAGGGTGGTATGGCCGTAAGCGAGTCTTCAACCTGCAAAAGGACCTTTTAAACATGTTGTTGTACCATCTTCTGTTTTTGGCATTTGGTGATTCATTTTGTCTGAAATAGTAATAATTTGATCAGAAAAGAAGCTCATAAAGTCCTTACTACTGAGGGTTATGGGGATACGTGGCTCAATAGAGCTGTGACTCTCTGTCAGCCTGGCTACAGTGCTGAAGAGGAACCTGGGGTTGTTCTTATTTTCTTCCATTAGTGCTGAATAATAGGCTCCTCTGGCATTGAGGAGGGCCTTTCTTTAGGTTTTAAGACTATTTTGCCAAATTCACATATTCTAATCATTTGGAAGAGCGTCATTTCCTTTCAGATTTCTGCGCTTTTTGCTTTAATTGACGGGTTTGGTGGTTGTACCACGGTGCTAGCCTCCTATGTTTTAATATTTTCCTTTTTATAGGGGCGATAGAATCTAGTGTTGTTCATAGTGAGCCTGCAGCACTATTAATGAGAGGATCAATTTGGGAGGGACTAAAGTTATTATAGGACTCTGTTATATTCAGACATGGCATTGAATTAAATACTGATGGAATCTCCTCCTTAAATTTAGCTAATTTTGTCAAAAGAAGAAACCTTCAAACATTTAGAAAACGTACTAATAATAAATAAAAGAATAGTTAATATCCCTTAATTCTGTAATAAATATTATGACTATATTTAAGTAAACATATATTTGGTTTTCAGGTGTGGACATTTATCATCTGCAGTAAAAATATGAATACACATCTGCTGAACAAGAGAAGAGAAGCAGTACAGTACAATAACAGAAGATGCTACAACAACATGTTTAAAAGGTCCTTTTGCAGCTTCTCCACTGGCTTACGGCCATACCACCCTGAACACGCCCGATCTCGTCCGATCTCGGAAGCTAAGCAGGGTCGGGCCTGGTTAGTACTTGGATGGGAGACCGCCTGGGAATACCAGGTGCTGTAAGCTTTTACACTTCTCTTTACAAACAGCAGAGGATGCTGCTGCTGCTGCTGCTGCTGCTGCTTCACTCATTCACATAGTTTCATTTTGTTATATGAAAGTTTTTGTTCATTTTGTTTTGAAGACAGTGTTGGTACATGGCGAAAAGAAACCCACAACATTTCAGGTTTAGAGGTATTACAAGACACAGTGTTGGGATAAAAAGTTAATTACAAATCAGACAGGAAGCACCTTGAGAGACTCTGAGTGTTTACAGTCCTACATATGGAAAATGTGTCAGAATTACTAATAATTATTACAGGAAAGGTTTTAGAGACACTCAGTGTAGGCTGCTGTAGATAGTCATTTAGTTGGTTATTGATAATTATGTGTATATGTATGACCTGAGGGATCATATTGGTCAGACTCTAACCCTCATACAGATTAAACTCAACTAAATCTTCAAATCTAGACCAGAAAATCAGTGTCAGGACCAGACAGGGTTGTGGCCATGTCGGGTGCAAAAGTCAAACGCTAAAGGTTTTCCACTGAGCAAAGTAAATATTCCAACTAAATAATGGACATGTTCATTTTTTTAGGCATGTTTTGGGACGCAGTGTGTCTGATACATTTGAAGTCTTTTATGTATTTATGGCTGCTTCAACTGCTGATGATAGTGTAGATAGTGACACATAAGTCACTTCTAGGCTGGATTACTGCAACTCCTTATTATCAGGTTGCCCCAATAAGTCCATTAAGACGCTCCAATTAATTCAGAACGCTGCAGCACGAGTACTGACAGGAACTAGGAAAAGAGATCACATCTCTCCTGTATTAGCTTCTCTGCACTGGCTCCCTGTAAAATTCAGAATAGAATTGAAAATCCTCCTCACCTACAAAGCTCTTCATGGTCCGGCTCCTTCATATCTTAAAGAGCTCATAGATCTTAGTGCAAAATCTTCCACAAACACAGAGATAAAAAAAAAGTCCCATCGTTCATGTTAAAGAGCCAAATCTGAAGAGAAGCAGTACAGTACAATAACAGAAGATGGTACCACAACATGTTTAAAAGGTCCTTTTGCAGCTTAAACACTCGCTTACGGCCATACCACCCTGAACACGCCCGATCTCGTCCGATCTCGGAAGCTAAGCAGGGTCGGGCCTGGTTAGTACTTGGATGGGAGACCGCCTGGGAATACCAGGTGCTGTAAGCTTTTACACTTCTCTTTACAAACAGCAGAGGATGCTGCTGCTGCTGCTGCTGCTGCTGCTTCACTCATTCACATAGTTTCATTTTCAACACAATGTTGTTGTAAAATATGTAACCTTTAAGTTTAGATGGAAGTTTCTTGATTCTACTATTGTTATTATTGTTGTTGTTGTTGTTGTTTGAGAGTTTCCGCTTGGTTAACGTGCATATATTACAGTAGAGGAAAATAAATCCTGAAAAGGCATGAATATCACCCATTATACAGAATCAGAATCGGGTTAATTGCCAAGTACGTTTTTACACGTACAAGGAATTTGTCTTGTTGCGTTGGTGCATAAAAATCGCAGAAAAAATAAAGTACTTTTAAAAATATAAATGAATAAAGATAAAGATAGAAAGGTCTAAACTGTACAGGAAAGATATTTACAATGTGCAGGATAGAAAAACCAACAGGAGTGCATTAAGGTAATGCATATATACAGGGTGGGTTTAAGAGTCAGTGTCAGTGGGGGATCTGGGCCTTGTTCATGAGGCCAGCTGCAGACGGAAAGAAA